TCATTTCAAAATTTAGGATGATATTTGGTGGGTGTTTCTGGCAGATATCCTTTATTGTGTTAAAAAAAAGTTTTCCTTCTAGTTCTAGTTTACTTGGGATTTTTCAAAGCAAAGATGAATCTTAATAGTTTTGGTATCTACTGCACTGAATTTATTTTTTCATCCAGAAATTTAGGAATTTGTGTTAATATTTTACGTTCTAATGTTGAACTATTTTAGTATTCCTATTCTGGCCAATTACCTGTTTCTTGGTGTGACTGACAGGTAAGCCATCTTCCCATATCACCCAGATCTTACTGGGCATGTGTTTATTGTCCAGTCCTTTCTCCCATTGATATGTGGGATACAGTCTTGGAAAATGTTAAAGTGCAGCTTCCTGGAAAACTGTATAAATGGTATGCCTGTATTATCCATTCATTCATTCCCTGTTAGTTAATAACTGGGTTATTACAATATACCCCTTCCTTCCACCTTCCTTCTCTCCCTCCCTCCCTTCCTTCTTTCTCTCCTTCCTTCTTTTCTCTTCACTCTCCATATCTAGTTTAGAATCAGATTAGTTAGCTTCATAAAATACGTCTTGTTTTATGCTCTGGGACAATTAATATAAGACATTTCTCTCTTGAAAATTTGATGTAACACCTGGATCTCATGATTTATAAAGGATAGATCTTTGACTGCTTTCTGAATTTCTTCTATAATTTGTGGTCTATTCATGATTTCTACTTCATATGTCTCTTTCTCTGTCTCTCTCCATCCCTCTCACCCCCCCCTCACAAACCCCCCCCCCCACGTATTACTTATTTATAAATATTTTATTTTCTTGTTCAAATGTTTAAGGTTGGACATAGCCCTGACCAGTTTGGCTCAGCGGTTAGAGCGTCGGCCCACGGACCAGAGAGTCACAAGTTTGGTTCCTGCTAAGGGCACGTACCTTGGTTGCAGTTTGTCCCAGGCCCTGGTTGGGGTCGTGTGGTTGGCAACCACTTGATGTGTCTCTCTCATATTGATGTTTCTCTCTCTCTCTTCCTCCCTCTCTCCCTCCCACTCTACCTGAAGATAAGTGCAAAAATGTCCTTGAGTAAGGATAAAAAAAAGTAATAAGGTTGGACATATTCCTGAGTACTTTATTATTCAAGTAATTTAAACAGAAAATAGCTACATTTTTTTCCCCCTGTAAGATAATAGTCCTCAAGCTAAGAAAATGAAATACTCTGTTAATTGGTAGTCAACAAATCACATTTCTCTTAGGGCCTTGATCTTCCTTGGAAAGGCATCTCCATAACAGAACAGTTCTCTTAAGATAACCCTTCCCACTTTCGTCTTAATAAATTTATGAAGAGAGATTGCTTTAAAATAGTTTTAGACAAATTCAGAATTACTGATCACACTCATTACTTTGTGTTTATGTTTAAAGCGAATGCTTGGTTTTATCCCTCCAAGAGAGAGCCATGTCTATCGAAATTGGGGAACTTAATTAGCGGTAGGATGCTTTCCTACAGAGGGACTATGCTATGGAAGCTACTGTTCTTTGTACAATGTTGATTCTTTTCTCTCCTCTATACTCATGTTGTTTTCATTCCATTTTTATTTTGTAACCCATGGGAACCATGTGGTGCCAGGAATGACACAATATAAGGCAATTAAAAGTAAACCACCGTGGCTGAAGTCAGGGTCTCCTCTCACGCCTCCTTCCTCCTCCTCTTCCCTCTTCTCCGGGTAACTCAAAGGCGCTCCTTACATTCTGAAAAGTGTGGTTTTAAAATGAACGCAGAGCCCTGGCCAGTTTGGCTCAGCGGTTAGAGCGTCGGCCTGCAGTCCGGAGAGACCCGGGTTCGGTTCCCGCTAAGGGCACGTACTTCGGTTGCAGTTTGTCCCTGGCCCTGGTTGGTCGTGCGGGTGGCAGCCACTCGATGTGTTCCTTTCACATCGATGTTTCTCTCTCTCTCTCCGTTCCTCTCTCTCCCTCCCACTCTATCTGAATAAAAAATGGAAAAGTGTCCTCTGGTGAGGATAAAAAACAAACAAAAAACAAAAAATAAAAATAAATAAATAAATAAAATGAACGCAGAGACTGTCTCTTAAAGACTCAAACTTGTCTGCACCCACAGAGCATTTTGTAGTCCATTGGCAAGTCCAGAAACAAATGCCCTTTACAAAAACCTACCCACATTCATATCATCTCCAAGTGGCCCTGTAGTACTCTACACCTTCAACATGGACCCACTTAGAGATTCATCTCTTCCGCATGCCCGCCAAGCTCAGAGTACTCTCCCTGAACCCCAAGTGGACCAAAAAGTAAAAATTTTAAAATAAAATACACAGTGATGATTCTATGTGATAAATGCACAAAATGAAAGTCTCAAGACATTTACTTTTACATTGAAAAGAGGGCTTTAAATGATCTTACTGAGTGGATTCATGAAAAGCCGATCTAGATAATCTATTTAGGGCCCCAGATGAAGTCAGTGGCTTAATCTCTTGGATGATACTGTGATCTACTCATAACTTCACGACTGGACTGGATTAAACTTAAATAGTTCAGAAAATTGCTTCCTTGTACTTGTGTTAACAACACAATGGATATGATTTATTGCTAGCTATGATTTACAGGTTTAAAGTTTTGCGTGTGCTGTTTTAAATATGTATGTCACAACTCTAAACTAATATTTGGTTTGCTTCCTCTTTGGAATTTCTAATACAGAGACTTTTATAACCTCTGTTTCTTTTATTTCCCTTTCCTGAGCCGGCTATTTTTCAGAGGCAATCCTGATTGTAGAGTTTTGTTTAGCTTCTTCTGAAAGACTACTCTTCTATGGGGATGCTGCTAGAACCCCAGTGATGCCCACAGAGTGGCGAAGGTGGACACCCACCACCAGCCAGTCACTCAAATAAAGTGAGACACAGGGTGAAGCAGTTTCACATCCAGGGCACTGTCGTGTATGAGAGTAGCCTTACCAAATTAAAGTTACCTGCTATAAATTCAGACGTACAATATTCAAATATCATCTATGTGACTTTAACCATCTTCTACAACAGTCCAGGCAGCCAAACAAAGGCTTTCTGTGCGAATAAAGGCAAAAAGCCAACATACACAGAATAAGCAAACCAAAAACCACAAAACAAAACCCTGTAATATTCCAGGAAGCTACATAAAGTCTTCTTGTGCAAATAAGGCAAATAGCCAAAATAAAATGAATCAAAAACTCAATAACTATCTTAAAATCGGAAGGACAGAGAGGAATCCTTGTTTTTTGAGTAACCAGCTGCTCCCATGTCTACCCTAATGAAGAGATGAGTCGGGCGATGGTAATCCAGAGACTTCAGACATCAGCTCTGACAGTGCTTTGCAAGCTTGCCTTGGCAAATGACAGCTAAGATTTTCACACGCACCCTAGTCTTTAGACTGCTGTATGGGGGATGAGGGCATCCTTGCAGTATGTGCCGGCATTTGGTAGTGGATAGGGCAGTTCACAGAGAATTCAAGTCATTTTCTGTAAAGTGTTTCCTTTTGAATTCTTATTATTTGAAACAAAAACTCCATAGTAATACTTTACTTTGTACCAAGTGATATGTGGGGACTATTTTATCTATTCCTCACTAAAATATTTTATGTTAGATGTGTGGAAACTGAGGTTCACAGGGTATATTAGTTCGCTCAGACTAATAGCATAAGGACAAACACCATACACTGGTGGGGAAAGACTGTGGCCACTGAAGGAGATGTCAGTTGTGAAGCACTCCTGACTCCGAAGATTTTACTGTTTTTACCCTTGGCAGGTTCTGCTTCAGCCGCATTCACCTTGACTTTCATTTCGCCTCCAAGACTTTCTAACTCTTTTAAATTCTACTATTGACCTTCAAAATGATTTTGAAAATCACAGTTGACTTTTTAGACTACGTAAAACTTCTCTTTTTTGATTTTTTTTTTTTTTATCCTCACCCGAGGACATTTTTTGATATTTTGTTCAGATAGAGTGAGAGGGAGAGAGAGAGAGAGAAACATCGACGTGAAAGCGACACATCGAGTGGTTGCCACCCACACGACCCCACCAGGGCCGGGGACAAACTGCAACCAAGGTACGTCTCCAGACCGTAGGCCGACGCTCTAACCGCTGAGCCAAACCGGCCAGGGCTCTTTTTTGATTTTTGTTTGGAGTCTTCCTTCTACTTACATCCCTTGCGCCTCCTCAGAAGCAAGTTTTCCCAAAACTACATGTCCCGACCCCAACCAAAACAGCATCTGGATCTTGAGTCCTTCACGATGGTACTCATATAAGCACGCAGGGACCACTGGCAACATTCTCGGGCCCCTTGCTTTGCCTGTTGCCTTCCTGCCCTCTCCATTCCTTCCCCGGGACCACTTGCTGATGCTGCAGCAAAGTCCACTCTAAAATATAGCGAACTTTGCGCTCTGCATGTACTGGTCTTCCCCTCCCCTTGTTCCTTGTAAAGATGATGGATAATTTTAGCCAGGACAAAGCAGTTAAAGGACAACCAGGAGAATGCTGAATGGTTACAGTCCAAGTGGCACATATAATGTCTTTCTGATGAACATTAATGAGCTACGGTGTACTCTGGGGAAAGTACATTACAAGGACTTTGTAAGAGAACATTATGACCGGACCCTGTAATTCTTGCTTATATTCACGAGAACTGAATGTTCGCACAGCCTGGCTTTTACATTGCACTGCTCATATTAAATGGGAAAATGGATGGGAAACAAATGGCAGCACTTGGGGAAGTTTTTCTTTCTTCCTTTAAAAAAAAAAGGCAGATGGTGTTTTGAACACAACTTGTCAGAGAACATGCACGCATAAGAGTTCTGGCTGTTTGAAGGGGAAAAATTACGTTGATAATTTTTTTAGTGGTAAGAAGTAGCTTTATGTGCTCTCAGGGGCTCAAAGGAAAAAAAAAAAAAAAAACCACCGAGAAATGGGAGTGAACTGCAAGATAGGGTTTCTGTAACAAGTACCTCAAACCACAGAAGTCACATGGCTCTGCTGCTTTGCTACTTCAGATTACTTGTCAGAGGTTATACTTTTTAGCTTCCCCCATTCTGCAAGGCTACTCAACCATGTGCCAGCTGGAGTAGTCTCTGCTCACAATGTCTTTGCAAAGGCTCATGCAGCAGGGCAGCAATGCCAACTTGGTGGACTACTGCGCTGGCCCAGCATGTAACTCATACTCCACACTCTCGGGCAACTATTCCATGGATGATAGTAGGAGGATTCAAATGCTGGCTGACACTGTGGCTACTTTGCCTCGGGGCCGAAAGCAGGTATGATTGCTATTTTGTAACTTTTAGAGCGTTCACGTTCTCTTGAGAGCAGAGTGATATGTCTGTGGGACTTCATACTAACATTGTTATGATAGAGGCTTCTGAGAGGATGAGTGAGGAAGGAGGTGAGGCGCCCGGGCAGTACTAGTATACCAGTCCCAAAATTTAAGACCATAACAAAACTTTCCTTGTCACAGCAAAACTTAAAAGAAGATTGCTTTTCTCATTTGAAGAGGTGTTCAGGGAAAACAAAAATGATAAAGCACATCAGACTTGAAGATGCTATTTATAGACATGACCAGTGTGAGCATTCTTGATTTTTTCCCCCTGTGTGTCCCATTGATTCCTTCCTCCCCAGCCTCACTCGCAGTCATAGGTAGTCATTTCGGTTTATAAGCCAGTGAGTGTTTTTTTTTTTGTTTTTTTTTTGTAAGGACAAGTTTTGTGAGCTAAACTATCTTCAGCTTTGAGGCATGGGCACATACCCCATGCTCTTGAGAAAGTTTGTATTGGATAAGTGAGTGCAGATTGAACACCAGCTCTGTCATTTAATAGATGTGGGACCTTGAGCAAGTCACTTGCGTCTCTAAGGTTCAGGTTTTTTGTTTTCCTTCCCCTGAAGTGAAGATAATAATAGAACCACCTGTGGGGCTCTTCTGCTGCTTAAGTGAGAAACATTCAGTGCTTAACAGAGAGACTGAAATGTAGTATATGCTCAATAATCACGCTAATATTTTTATTTTTACTGCAAATATTTCCCTAGAGGGGAAAATATTTGCAAAAATTCATGTCTAACTGGGTTTATGGTGAATGTATTTTTATCCTTTGACTTCCAACTTCAAAAAACATTAAAACCATAGCACTTCTTTAGTTAAATAACCTGCTACAATGCCCCAAGTACATATCTGAATTTAGATATAGCACTTGTACAGAAAATACGTAGAATTGCTTTATTGCTTTATTTATTTATTTACTTATTATCCTCACCCAAGGACACTTTTACATTTATCTTCAGATAGAGTGTGTGTGGGGGGGGAACATCAATGTGAGAGAGACACATAGAGTGGTTGCCACCCACGCGACCCCAACAGGGACCGGGGACAAACTGCAACTGAAGTACGTGCCCTTAGCAGGAACTGAACCGGGGACTCTCTGGTCTGCGGGCCAACTCTCTAATCGCTGAGCCAAACCAGCCAGGGCTAGAATTGCTTTAAAGCATACATTTTTGCCCTTAAATGTGGCAAGCGCATCATGTACTCCACTTCAGCCTTCCAATTCGGGATTAGAGTTGGAGTACAGCAGGAGTCATGGTCTTTTCTCAGGGAGTTACATAGCCGATTCCTGCGACTTCTCCCAATGGAGGTAAGGACATCATTTGCCGTGGTTTGGATTATCAATCTTTTCAATCCCAAAGGGCTTTTATGACATTTAAGTTTAACATAATGACGAACATGTCTATCAATTTTCTACCTGACTGAAAATAAAGCACCTCTGGGAAGTACTGAAATCTTCATTCAGTTTTCAGACAAAGAGCGGTATAGGAGGAACAAAGGTGAGAAGAACATATTTCCTGCCCTTATTGTTTATAATTAAAGAGGCAGAATGAATAGATGTTATACAAAGTAAAACAACATAAATGCTCCAATCCTAGTACATGTCTTTGAATACAACCTTGAAGGAGAGATACTGCAGATATTGGGTATTCCAGAAAAAGGGACTAGTTGATATTGAAGCACAGGTCTTGGGGCCGTCAGGGAATGTTTATGGAATGGCACATTATTGGGTCGGGAGGGCCCAGTGTCTGTGTGGGAGGTGAGGGGAGACCACAGAGTTGGGCTGCTTTACAAAACATTTGGACACTTCCCTTAAGGAAGCAGTAATTTGAGCAGCACAGCGAGTCATGGAATGTGTTGGAGCAGTAGAGGGATTTGGGACATTTACCCTAGAAATGTGGTCTGTCGGTAAGTGGGTAGAGACTAGTGGTCAGGGAGCAACTTTTGCACTAGTTGGAAAAAGAAGAAATGGAGTCTTAAATACAAAAAGAAGTGAAATCCGGCTGGTGTGGCTCAGTGGTTGAGTGTCAACCCATGCACCAAGAGGTCGCCGGTTTGATTCCGGACCAGGACACATGCCCAGGTTGTGGGCCTGATCCCCAGTGGGGGGCATGCAAGAGGCAGCCAATTAATGTTCTCTCTCATTGATGTTTCTGTCTCTCTGTTCCTCTCCCTTCCTCTCTCTCTAAAATCAATAAAGGAAAAAACAAAACATCAACAAAGAGCAGTGAAGACAGAGGAGTGACATATGGTTTTTAAGCATGAGTGAATATAGCATGCAATGGTAAAAGGCCATCAGTAGGCCCTGGCCGGTTTGGCTCAGCAGTTGGAGCATCGGCCTGTGGACCAGAGAATCCCAGGTTCAGTTCCTGCTGGGGGCACGTACCAAAAAAAAGGCCATCAGTAGGAGGTTATTGGAAGAAGATAATGAGAGGGATTTAGGCATATGAAATGCACACAAGTATGAGTGTGTGTTTACATGTGTATAATATATATATATATACACACTTACACATATATGCACATACATTCCAACATCAATTAATTTATTTGTATGTTCTCATCTTTTTTAGGTCTTCTCTTTCCCCTTTTCTCATGTTTGTTCCCATGGTTGACTCCTCCTAGTCATATAACTTTTGAGCACTGTTGTGAGAATTACTTAAGAAAAAAAAAAAAGCAAAACATGATCATTCTGATTCCACACAACTATCATCAATGAGACATGTTGCAAGTTTATCCCAACGTCTCACAATCTTCCAAAAGGAGGTTCATTTCCTTGAGAACAATCATCCATTTGTCACCGACTGAATTGCAGGCAACAAGATCTCTGTAAGGTCGTCCCAAGAACAGGTGTTTGTCTGCCCACTGTTATTTTCAGTCCTTTCAGCGTTGACGTCAACAATTCATACTTCTCGTTATTGTTGGCTTTGGTTTCTGCAAAGCTGTATCTGGTTAGCCTGTAGTTTCAGTTTATTCTTCAGAGTCTTTTGGGTGTTCACACTCAGAATTGCTTAAAAATAGATTTCTGTGTGTACATATTATCTTAATACCTACATTGTGGAAGGTGACAGACACCCCACCGCAGCTCCTATGTCTGAACACAATTTTAGGAGGAAAAATACGTGCAATGGAAAACACTGTAGGAAGGAGGCTGGGGAGCATAAGGACAGTCTGCAGAAATGTTGCAATGCCCAAGGACTAGGGTTGCTCTTAGAAAACAGTATTTTACCAAATGCAGCAGCGAGGCCAGGGACCTGACATGTGAGAAGCTTGGATATGCACAAGAGGACCAACAAGCTGAACCTCTTGCCCTGATTTTCTCTTGGTTATCAAATTACAGTTGACCCTTGAACAATGTGGGGTTACAGGTGCTAACAGTTGAATATCAGCATATAAATTTTGACTTCCCCAAATCTTAACTTTTAAAGAGCCTGCTATTGATAGGAAGCCTTACTGAGAACATAAACAGTTGATGAATACATATTTTGTTGTAAGTTATATGGATTGCATACTGCATTCTTATAATAAAGTGAGAGAAAAGAAAATATTAAGAAAATCATAAGGAAGAGAAAATATATTTACAGAATTTATTTTAAAAATCTGCACATAATGGACCTGCACAGTTCAAACCCATGCTGTTCGGGGTCAACTGTATTACTAAACAGACAACTTCTAGAACAGTTATTTTTTTTTTAAATTTATTTTTGTTACAGATGTCCCCCCCACCATGCACCCTCCTCCCGATCCCGCCCCCAACCAAGCACTGTTGTCTATGTCTACTCGTTACGCATTCATGCATATAAATTCTTTGATTCATCTCATCCCCCCCCCACCCCCCCCACCCCCCGTCCCGAAGTTTGTCAGTCTGAACCACACTTTCTATCTCTCTGGGTCTGTTTAGTTCATCAGCTTTTTTTGTTCATTATATTCCACAAATAAAATTTTATTTAAAACTGTAGATACATAACACAGTGCTCAACTCTGTAATGTGTGTATTTCTGGGATGGGTTCTGCCCTTAAGGAGTTTTTACATCATTTGTGGCCACGCATCCATCTGTTACCAAAACTTCCAAGTGCTCCTAACTACAAAAGGGTATTTTGCTCATTCAATTAATCCTTTTAGGTAGGAAACTTAATTTGACCACAGAAGAATTTGAAACGTATTCTCTAATCCGTATTGTTGCACGCTGGGAGTCAATTTCCAACAATTCTTTCTGAAAAAGAGGTCCCAGACCTTCATGGGAAGCTACAACCCTTGAATTCAGTGCCTTTATTTTGCTGTATCTTAGAATGATCTGTGCAGCCCTGCTAACACAAGAATCCCGACTTAACAGGGGAAAGAAAGAAAGCTGTATACATGGAAGAACCGGGGAGAGTGAGGCAGGGGACTGGAAAGGGAGCAGAGCACATGATTTTGGAAATTTGAAAACAAACACAAACAAAAAAACCTCAACTATGGATAAGTTGCTCCCCACTCTCCTCCCCCAACACTTTCAGGAAATGAGTAGCAGACTGGGGACCAGGAAGTAGCAATCTGTTACTTCACTGCAGGAGTGGCTACAGTGTTGACCTCTGAGCTCCTCTGAGCCTGGCTGAGCTACCACAGGTCATCCGTCTTTTGCAAACTGGCAGCTGAAGTATTTGGCCCTGGTTTCCCTCTAAAAAGGGACATTGTGAATCACTGGATAGCAGGGAAAAATTACCTCTTGAAGATCAATGCCTGATTTTTAACTCATCTGACTAAAACCCAAAGAAGAAGGATGGTAAATGCAACCCCAGGCATCTTTATGTGAGTGTCTAGCAAGGGGTTAAAGAGCTTGGCGTACTCAGCCGTAGCACATGAATTGCCAAATTGCTAAACCCTGCTTTCTCCTCTTCGATCACGTGTAATAAAAGACAGCTGTCGCCAGTGCAGACTGTTCATTGCACACCAGTTCCTCACTCATGAGTTTTGGTGCCATCACTACAACCCCGAGAAAAGAAGGGAGGGCAGTCTGGGAGTGAGGCTCCCCGATTAGAGCCCAGAACAGGGCTGCACACCCGAGGGAACGGGCTGCAGGAAAGCACTTTCCAAAGTGGAAGACCTTTGATAAGACCTTAGACGTCCTTCTTTTCACTTAGGCAGATAGTCTGGTGTCTGAGCAAGTTGGAACCCTGAGAACATTCCCTTCCACACCCCCTGAGCCTGACAGCCCTGATGGAAAGCAAGTAGTCTTTGCATCAAGATGGGGTACATGTCAGGGAATTTGATGGTGTCTCATTTATTTAAATTGTTTTTAATTTAAATGTTAGGTGCCTGAAACAGGTTCATTGCTAATCCAGAGCGGAAGCTAATTTATAATTTGACTTAGTCTGATTTTGTGTGTGTGTTACTGATAACCCAAATCAGTCAGTCCACAGGAACTGAGTATCTGCTATGCCTCTCATAATATGCCAGGCAAGCATTTTCATTTCCAACAAGTCCATTAGCTAGATAGAAAGTGTAGCAGAAGAGCCCTGGTCGGTTTTGCTCAGCAGTTAGAGCGTCAGCCTGTGGATCAGAGGGTCCCGGGTTTGGTTCCCGCTAAGGGCACGTACCTTGGTTGCAGTTTGTCCCCAACTACTCGATGTGTCTCTCTCGCGTTGATGTTTTTCTCTCTCTCGTCAATGTTTCTCTCTTTCTCCCTCTCGTCAATGTTTCTCTCTTTCTCCCTCTCTGCCTCCTAAATGCAAAAATGTCCTCAGGTGAGGAGGAAGGAAGGAAGGAAGGAAGGAAGGAAGGAAGGAAGGAAGGAAGGAAGGAAGGAAGGAAGGAAGGAAGGAAGGAGGGAGGGAGGGAGGGAGGGAGGGAGGGAGGGAGGGAGGGAAGGAAGGAGGGAAGGAAGGAAGGAGGAGGAAAGGAAGGAAGGAAGGAAGGAAGGGAAGGAGGAAGGAAGGGAAGGAGGAAGGAGAGTAGCAGGAGAGAGGTGGGCAAGTTTCCTTCTCCGTAAAGGTCTTGTAGTTGTCTGGTGGATTTAAAGAGTTTAGACTTGATCTACCTAGAATGGTTTTTTATTTAGAAGGCAAGTTGAGGGTGGACCAGCTGATTCCTATCAATGCTACGACTAATCTGCTAAATAATGATAGCAAGAGTTATATTTTTAAATATAAACCCTAGTTACGGTTACAGATAACATCATTAGATGTGACCTACCTAAGTACCTTACAATCTGAAAACAAAACAAAACGCCAAGCAGGTGCAAATAACAAAAACAGATTAAGAAAGTGAGTGTAATAATATCAGGAAAAGAGAGAATGCTTGGGAGTATCAAGTTTATTGCTCTCTTCTGCGGAAAGTTAGCCTACTACATAGCTGGATGGTGCCCACTCATATGGACAAAATCAGGCTGAAATAAACCATGCAAATTGTTGTAGGTCTTCCACATTCAGTCCTTATGAGTTGAAAATGAACACTTTTTAGCCACTCGAGAGAATCTTTTTGGGTCTGAGCCTTCCTATTGCTGTCTACAGAATGATATAAATGATTTAAGGTCCAGAACTGACAAGAAAGAAAAATGTAATTAATTTACATCAACTCAGTGGGAAGAGACCAGCTCTCCATTACATTAACTTTACTGACCAGCAGCCAAGTTCTGCCCTAGCATGAGCCATTCCAGAAAATTGGTCAGAATATTGGCATTTGGTCCTGGGTAATTTCAATTCCTTACAGTAAATGTAGGCTTCTCTCCTAACAAATGCCTTAATGAGGATTTCTTCTGTGCATTGATTTCTTTTATGCATTTTTCTCCCTCCAGTTTTCATCCTCTATTTTATTTTTATTTGTTTAGACTCAGTATGCATTGATCTCCTGACAATTTGCATGTTAAGTTGACAGTTAAACATCACAAGTTAGCTAGGAGCGTAAGCTTATGTTTTGGGCCCCTGAGAAAAGGCTAATGAATATTTCTTAATTCCTAAACAAACAAAATAAAACACCCGCAAAAACTCACTTTAATCACTGAGAAAAACGCCCAGAAAACAAGATGCCACCTTTTGTACATTTTCCTCAATTTACAATGGTTGATTGTATTTTGGAATTTTGTGTTTATATGATCTTTTCCCAAAACAGAGTAAAGATGATGTTTTCTATGCCATTTATACCATTTATTCTGAGGTTCCTTTCCTTCCTTGGCTGGAAATCTCACTACACTTTCCCAAAACTATTACAAAAATAAATCACAAAACAGAATCAAGGGTCTGAGTATTTGGTTTTACTTGAATTGTATTTCTGCATATGAATTGGTTCTTTAGAGATTCTTTTAACCTGCTTTTAAAAAGTAACATTTTAAAGTAACTGTTATAATAAACACAATCATTTCATCGGCATCTCCAGAAACTATTAAGTATTTGGGTTTTGCATGCCATTCCATGGGTGTTATTTTTCTTCGGATTTCAGTGTGATTATAAATTGCTATGGTTAATCTCTCAGAGGCTATTTTTAATACAGATTAGATATGAAGTTCTTTTGGGAAGCTTTGGAGTTTTGCCACATTATATTAACTCTTGCCATAGTGTATTATTATCAGAGCCTCTTTTAATCTTTGAAACAGACTGCCTGCACTACCCTTCCTCAGCTCTCTGCTATCACTAAAGAATGGAAATTACCACCTTTACTTTCTTTGAGCTGGGCCAAAGAAGGTGATCAAGAACAATGTCCTTTGTGACTTAGAACATTCACAGATGTGTCTTAAGGACCTTTCGATTGATAACTGTGCTTGTTGTCTTTTTCAGCTTGCTTTGACGGCATCAAGTTCTTTAGGTGACTTTTCCTGGTCTCAAAGGTAAAAAGATTCATTTATTTATTGTTTTCTCTCTCACCAACATGTTTAGGAACACAGCTCTCCAGACTTATTGACAAATCACACACATACACACACACACACACACACACACACGCACACACACACACAGTTATAATACTACAATTTACAGAAATTGTAACAGTTTTTAGGTTGTGACAGTTTTTTTAAAAAAATAAGTATGTGACAATTGTGATACTTTGATCCTCATGCATAGTTTTATTTACACTAAAACATTTTTTATTACAGAAAGCTTGTTACTGTGGAAAAGCAGGATAATGGAACGTTTGGATTTGAAATTCAGGTGGGCACTTCTCACATTTTTTAGACTTTTAATGAAGACAGTGGCACTAGTAGTGTGGTGATATTTGCAAAGCAAGAATGAAATCAGTATTGAAGAATGACGGAGACTGTGATTTATATTTAGTGTGTGGTTGCTTGGGTAGTTCTTTCATGTCTTTGGTACCATCAAGGAAAGAAAAGATTGAAACCCATAAAATAAAACCCCTGAGACTTGCTCAACACATTGTTCTTAGTTGCTTCAGTCTCCCCCAAAGTCTGAGACTGATCAGAAATACTTGATGTCAGGCAGGTTTTAATTAAGAGAGTGAAACACTCTTTATATGTGTGTATTTTGTTTATTTGCATTTCTGATGGGTTTGCATAATTATTTTTTATACTACATGTCAGGTATTAAATCTGTACTTTGATACTCGAGAAATACTTCAAAACATATATACTTGTATATGTGGACTTCTTGCATTCAAGTTAGCTCTTATAACATTTAGAAAATCCTAAAGATTTTATTTTATAGTAATGTGTACATTTTTATTAATGATGACACTTTGTAATTATTATTATACTTAAGAACAGTGCTCCACTTGCACAGTGTCTCGTGCTCAGGGAAACTTTTTAAACAATCTATAGGTTTCTTTGAAATAGCCTAAGAATTTCAGTTCTTATTCGCATTTGCTTTCTAATGGCCGTGTTTGTAAAGATGGTGAGTTAGGTCAAATGAAGTCTAATGCAGTTAAGTGCAACAGTAGTAGCTTAAGTATTAAGTGCTTTTTTCCATTACACGTTTGCCTTTCCTTTAGATGTATTTTGCACAATCATATACTTATACTGCACACCATCTTTTAGGTCTTAGCTTTGGTGCTGCTTTCAGAAAATTTTGGTGACCAAGTATCAGCTCCACAACTGGAAAGTCAGCATGTGTTTTAAGATAAGGAACAGGAAGCTACTAAGTAAAACGTGCTTTATGAACAAAGGGACAGAGTGGAACTCTACCTTTAGTGAACAGGGAGGAGGCTGTAAGAGAAAAGATGATACCGTCTGCTCTCTGAACTCTTCTACCTTGAAGTTTGAGGAAATCTGTAATTCTTCCATCAGGTTTTGGAAGCATAGTACTGTTTCTTATTCCCCAGTCACACAAAACACTCCCTGTTCTTCTGCCGAGACTGTACTTTCTGTGACTGCTTCTTTTTAAATGAGAATTATGCACACGCGTGTGCGACCATTGCTGCTGAAAACAGGATCAGTGACCACTCCGTACCCTTATTTAAAGTGACAGACTAGGATTTTTTCTCACCCTTCTGTGCTATGCCACTGCTCCCCCATGTGTCGTCCCCGTACCATAAACACAGTCCAGGTGGAGCAAGAGTCAAAGCTGTCATTAGTAGACCACAGGCTGCAGCACCCGAACCTTTGTAGCTCGGCGTGAGCCGACGGCCGCACCTCTGAACCGGAGCACGTATGTGTTATCTCGGGAAAGCAGGAGCCCACTCCCCTGCACATTCCTTTTTGGTGTAGTTTTCGTGACCAGCTCCATGACCTCTTTTCTAGTACTTACGAGATTTGCATATTCATCGAATTGGGGAAATGCTGTGGGAACTTTTTAAAAGCCAGATAGAACCTCTTGTGCTGGTATTATGCACCCATTGTTAACACCTATTTGCATGCTGGTCCACCGAGGGAAGGGCTCTTTGGAAGAGAACAAGTCCACTCTGCTCTCTGGTTTTCCATGGGTGCTACTCCTACGCTGCTAATGAGAATCATACAATACAGCGTGATAGGAACACAGAGTCTAGATTCAGGCACACCTGTGTTTATTTTCTCTCTGTTGCCTTGTGGGGTTTTTAGGAATTTCAAATGAAATAACACATACAAAATACTCAGTCATGTGCCTGGTACCAGCAGAAGATCAGCACATGACAAGTGTTAGAATGAATGTCACTGGGTGTGAGAAAGGGCAATGTGACTTTTGTGTCTCTAAGGATTGTTTTGCTATTAAAAGTGAGAGCAGAAGACTGAGAGTGAAAGAGAGATTCAACTACTTGTTGCTCTCTATACCTTTGGGACCCCTGCCTTTTCTTCCCTATCTCTAGCCCCCAAATTTTGCACCCATTGGCCAACGGCCAACATGCCAGCTACCTAAGTCAGTATTTCTCCTTCACTGTGCTCACTTTGATCACTGGGCATGGAAGGCAGAACTCCCTGTTAACAGAGTTGTTGTACCAGAGGTTTCTCAGCAGAAAGCCTGCTAGAGCTGCGGTTCATGACCACATGAACTAGGCCACCCTTCCATTCCTGAAAGGTCTGGGCTGTGGCAAGAAGACTCCCTGGCAGAAAAACTGATAAAGGGTCTCTGACAGAGATGGGAAATATATTACATGCTCTTTAAAGGTCCCTTTTACCTTAACACATGGGGGCTCTAAATGCCTTTTTGAGTCAATAGAACCTGACAGGTAAACAAAGTCATATTTCTAGAAGTTCTTAGCGTATGACTGACTTCTGGCTCTGGAGCCTGGAAGTCTGTAAAATAAGAAGGAATGATCATCAGACATTAATTTTTCCATAAGGGGGCCGTATGGAATATGGTTTAATTTTAGGAATCAGATGTTTAAAAGACTTACTCAAATAAGAATGGTGATTGTGAGTCTCAGTGGCACTAGACCTCATAACTTAATTGTGTAAAAAAAGAAAAATGTGCTGGCGATAAGGCATAGGGCCACTCTATCTAGCAAACATTTATCCAGTGCTCTGGGTACAATTTGGAAAACAAAAACAAAAACAAATTGCTTTTGCCATTTGGAGGCAGGAGGCAAAGCATAGCCTTTTCTGATGTGGTTGGATTACTAATGAACCAATATTCAAGGCAGGTATACCAGCAAGTGCTCCGAAATGAAGGTAATTGAGTCGATTATAGTACTTCTGAATTAATGCAGGGCAGATTGTCATTATTTGCAGAACCATAATACAAAAGAATTATTGTTGGCATATCTCCATTGCTGGTTATGTACAGTTCGTCTGCTCCTGTGTTGAGTACCTTAGCAAGGGAGATCCTCATGGACATCTTTCTCTTTGCTCTTGGCCACCATTGTTTTATCCCATTGGGAAATGAGAAACTTAATTTTTTTCTCAAGTAATATGCAGTAATGATAGCATCATGTGGTCTCTTAGGCCTGAAAATATAAAAGCCTGAGCCAGTTTTATCCCACTTTTTCCCCCTCAAGGCAGATGTTCTTTTTAATGAATGGGGTTGGCTGAAGATTGGTAGGATTGTGAAATTGGTCTGTTGGATGTAGTTTATATTCAGGAAGGACTTTCCAAATTGTTCTTTGCATTTACCCTTATACCACTTAAGGTAGCAGACACCATTTTAGTTTTGGACAAATAGATTTTGAATTTGTAGAATACTAATTGTGTATCGCTTTAATTTTTGCAGACGTACAGGCTCCAGAACCAGAACACCTGCTCCTCAGAGCTGTGCACTCTGGTCTGCAAAGTCGAGGAGGACAGCCCAGCACACTGTGCTGGCCTGCAAGCTGGTAACTTACAACTTTGCTCATGTTAAAAATGATTTTAATAGCAAGAAAATTTTTTTTTGTTTTGTTTTGTTTTATCCTCACCCGAGGACATTTTTTGATATTTTGTTCAGATAGAGTGAGAGGGAGAGAGAGAGAGAGAAACATCGACGTGAAAGTGACACATCGAGTGGTTGCCACCCACACGACCCAACCAGGGCTGGGGACAAACTGCAACCAAGGTACGTGCCCTTAGCGGGAACCGAACCCGGGTCTCTCCGGACCGCAGGCTGACGCTCTAACCGCTGAGCCAAACCGGCCAGGGCGCAAGAAAATTTTTTGATAGTGAAGGTCAGGACAGTATTGTTGCTTTTAATTTTCTTAGAGCCTTTATGTTGTTAAGGTTTGAGGCTTGCTTGTTTTTCTTCTTTTGCACAGTCAGGAAGGATTATTTAACCAACCACTTTAACACTCATTTTTTTTTTCTTGGCATCTCCCAGGTGATGTCCTTGCAAATATCAATGGTGTGGGCACAGAAGGCTTTACCCACAAGCAAGTTGTTGACCTGATTAGATCGTCAGGAAACCTGCTAACGTAACTATCCATCTGCTTCTTGTGGGGCTTCAGAAATGTTTCGGTCTCTCATAATGCCTGTTGAGTGAATGAATAGACTTATTGTTCAGGATCACAAGAAGGGAGGCAGTGCATCATAGCTTTGGAATTGGATACAGACGTTTTCATCAGTTCCTTTTGTTTTTCAAGGTTTCCTCAAACTTGAACATGTCAACATCTGAAGTCAGAGAACTTGGATAGCCCAAACATCTGAGTGGGAGGGAGAGCATTTAAAAAAGTACTTAATGTTAAATTAAATTAAACTGGCACGCGTCTTCTCTGGACAGACAGAAAATGGTCCAGTTTCCATGGTTGATATAATCTTGTGGTTAGAACGAGTAAAAGGTCGGAAAGGTTGAGTTTTTCATCTTATACCACAGCCCATTGTTTTTCTCATCTAGTGTCCATTCAGAAGGGAGAACTCCAGTGCCCACCCTCCCTCCCCGCCCCTGCACATGCACACACACACTCCTGCTACCACTGCAAACTTACTGATGGACATTCGTCTCCCCTATCGGAGATTTGACTGACTTTTCAACTGTACCATCCCTAGAACCTAATAGGACTTTAATATTTAGTTAAAAGATGAAATTCGCTTATTCTCTGAAATACTATTTCTTGAGTAAATACTATGTTTCCAGCACTGTGACAGGCTCAGGGGAGATGGAAGGAGATGGATAAGAAAAACCTGCGAAAGTAAATAACTTTAATATTTCAGTTATGGATAACTGCTCTGAAGAAAGCACCATAAGGAATGGGATAGAACATTGAGGAAGAGGGCTGCTGCTTTAGCTCAGGTGTTTAAAAGTGGCCTCTCTGAAGAGGTGGACTTGGAGCTGAGACCTACATGAAGAGAAGGCTGGTGATATAAATTCTTGGTGAGAGAGCATTTAAGGTAAAGAGAGAGGTCTCTGAGTTGTCAAAATAGGCTTGGCCCATCCAAGGAGAGAAAGAAAGCCAGTGTAATTGGTGGTTGGTGAATTAGGCTGAATAGAATAAGGGATGAAGACAGAGCTGGTCTGGGGGGTGGAGTATAGGTCTATCAGCCAGGCTAGGTAGTTTAGGATTGATTCTGATTAAGGTAGGTCCCATATTTTCTCATTTGTTCTTCACAGCCACTTCATGAGGTTAGTTTTATTTCTATTTATAGGTGAAGTAACTGAGGTTTAGTTAAGATCAACCATCCAGTAAGTCCCGGGGCTGGGATTTGACCACGGGCCCTGGATGCCAAGATCTCTTCTCTCCATCCACACCACAGCTGCTCTCGCAAGCTGCCAATCAAAACTCGCTGGACACTCCTGAGTGATTCTAGTCTAACACTGCAGAGGGTGTTTGGGGTGTGTCTAGGAGTCGTTTTGAAAGGTGACTTGTGACAGAGGACTGCATCTAACTGCCAGTGCTTTCTCTTGGACTCTGGATCATTTCCTCCTTGCAGATTCAAGCTTCTCTTTACCCTGAACTCATGGGGTCCACAGAGTTGGACTCAGTCCTCTGTCACCCCCAGAAGGCTGTTCCTAACTAAACCTCATGGAAGCCGCAACCACTTCCTATAGTAGGCAGGCGTCAGGTGGCTATTTAAGGGCGGAGACAGTTGGGCAGTCAGAGATCAGGAAGAGTACTAAGACTGACGAGAGCAGCCAATCTAGGCCTGAGGCTTTGCCCAGAGACATCTACTGCTCGGGGAGGTCAGATGGACATTAAAAATCCCAGTGGAACAGAATCGCAGGGATCCTCACCACTGCCTGGAGTCAAGACTGCCCTAATGAGAAAGCAGATACTGTCTTGGCTTGCTGTCGTCTCATTATTTTGGGTACGGTGCTGTTAGAAATGGAGGCAAATTGATCTCCACATTTCATGCTCTTATTTTACCACGCCTTGAAAAATTCTTGCATTGTTAGAGAGTTACAGTTTGTTTATCGGAAAGAAATCGAACCAATACTTTAAAAATGCTTAGGTGTGTGACTCCAACATGAAATGTATTTTATTCAGATTGATGGCTTAATAGTCAAAATAAAAGCCTCTAACTTGTGTCCACAAAACAAATCAAAGCACTCAAGATGCAACAACTCTTTTTTGTTTTTAGAAAGGGATAGGGAGAAAGAACAGCATTAAATTGATCATTTTAGGATTCAAGTTTGTGAACTTAAAAGGCTTTGCGATGAGACAGTCATATGAAGGTTACTCACTGATAGTAGTTCTGGTTTTCTTTGTTCTAGTTCTAAAATTCAGGCAATTCACAGAAGTCAAGGCTCTTGGCAACTTAGGGAGGCAAAGATTTTTCCCTTCCAAGAACCAGCATGTTGATGCACTGCTTGTTATTCTTGTTGCTATATTTCTTGAGCTTAACATGGTATCTAGAGACCAGCACACAGTAGATGTCTGATAAACATTCACAAATGAAGGAGGTGAGTCAGCCAGAACTCACACGAATAGATTCTTGTAGAGAACAACCATCACTGCTGTGGTTTCTATAAAATGAGCTGCAGTTCACAAATTATCCAGAATCTTTCAGTAACTCTCTCAAGGGGAGTTGTTTTTTGTTTGTTTGTCTGTCTCAGAATTTGTTAGAAGATTTGAGCTAGGTCCAGATGCTTTCAGTGTCAGGAGCACTGTAACATTTATGTTGCTTTGTAAGGATAGTCTGTGCTCAAATTGTAGTGCTTCTTAAGGATGGGACTTGTATGAATGAAGCACTCATGCTACCCCCCCCCCCTTTTTTTCTTAAAACAGAATAGAGACTCTTAATGGAACAACAATTCTCAAAAAAGCGGAGCTTGAAGCAAAGCTGCACGTTTTAAAGGTAATTGAATTTAATACAGGGAGGTACATTTTTCAGCCTTGAGTGTATGAGTGGTAGAATAAAGATCTATTTGAGGAATTGAGACAGCCCTTGGGGATGAAATTTCATGATAATTCTAAACTGCTGAATTATCAAGAGCCACACAATTAGCTTTGTAGGAATATTAAGTTTCACAAACCAGTGCAAATCACTTCCTTCCTCCTGTGTGTCTCTGAGGCTCAGAAAGGCAACAGGAAGGCACATCAATTGAAGAACTTTTCATTAATGCACCTATCTGTCTTGATTTACATTTTGTTTGGGGGAAAACAAAAAAACAGAGAAGGAGAACCTGGTCTTTTCGTCGTTTTCCCAAGTGCTGCATGTGTGTGCAGGGGGGCCTGGAATTTTTGCTTTCTGTTGTCTTCCTCTGTGTCCTTCCATTCTGCCTCATTCTTACCACAAACACCATCTCCCTGTCCTCCGGCTGTCCTCGACTCTCCTTTCGTTGGCAAATACACTACCAACTTTGAAGAGGGAAAAATTAAGTTTTTAGGAGATGGTGCACAATGCTTGATGTTCGGTGAAAATTCCCATGGCCCATTGAGTCTCACAATCTTAGTAGACTGGGGAGGCTCTGCCAGGCCAAGTCCAGACCCTCACTCATGTGCGCCAGAGCCCTGCAGGCCCCTCCCTGGATCCAAGGACTCTATCCCAGGGCTGCCCCGCATGGCAGTGAAATAGCCCCTCGGAGCAAGGGTTGCGTGTTTACTACAGCCTGGGTGCTCACTGGGCTTTTGCATAACAATAGCTTCCATTTATTAGTTTTCTTTATGAAGTATGCACTTCTAAATTATTGAGCCCAGGAGGGTGGAGTTACTATATGGTATTGATATTTGATCTTGTAGTCCCTTCCCCCACATCTAATTTATCAACAAGGCCTGTTTTCTTTTTTGTCAACATCTTGTTATTTTTCCTTATTCCTGCTATTTTCTTTAATCTCTTTGTAAAATTACTTGAAAACATTTTTTCTGTTCAGATTTTCATAGCAACTGAATTTCATTTATAGGATAAAGGAGATCAATTGACATCTTTATGGTTTCACTTCTCTTATTTCAAACACAGTTGAATAATTGGAGGTAAAGGGGCAAAACTTTCATTACCTACAGCTAGTATTATAGCTGTACAGAAAAATGTAAGGGGATCTATAAACATTTTGTTAGAATAAAAGGAGTTCAGCAAGACTATTGGATTTAAAAACCAACAGCAATAAATTAAAAATCTTTGAAAGTTAAAAGATTATATTTATTAAGAAAGAAAAATGAGAAGGTACCTAAGAATAAATATTTTTTTTAAATGTAAAAGTGTATGAATGAATTATAAAATGTTTTAGATTAAAAGATTCAATACATCTTGTTAGATTTATTCTTTTATAACTTACAATTTTGTTCTTATAGTTTTTTTACTTAAAAATATTTTGATTGAGATTAATATATAGATATGTAAAATAAAATATTCTATGTTGTCACTATATTCAAACACTTTGCTACACTGTATAATTTCTAACAAATTATCTATAGATCTTTGGGGGGCCTTCTAGAAGGATAGTAACTATTTGTTAAGAATGACATTCAGTTCTATTTCTTGCTAATTGGCTAGAACGTACAAAATGATGATGAATAGAAACTATAATTGTAAGCATCCTTGTTTTGTGCTTGACTTTAAAGGGAATTTTTTTACTCTTTCATATTTGGAATGAACTATCATAGTATACTTTTCAGGTTTACTGGTAGTTTTTATAGGGCTTTCATATTAAATTTTATCAAATACCTTTTTTACATGTGCTAAGATGGTCTCACTTTTTTATTTTAAAAGAATCTGTCAAGCCCTCGCGTTTTGGCTCAGCAATTAGAGCGTCGGCCCACGGACCAAAGAGGGTTTGATTCCTGTCAAGGGCACGTACCTTGGTTGTGGTTTGTCCATGGCCCTGATAGGGTCATGAGAGAGGCAACCAGTTGATATGTCTCTCTCACATTGATGTTTCTCTCTCTCCCCTCCCGACTCCCGCCCTCCACTCTATCTGAAGATAATAGAAAAATATCCTCAGGTGAGGATTAAAAATATGGTAAATGACATTTAAAGATTTTTTTTTTTAAAGTGATACCATCCTTGCATTTATAAAACATACCCAAAATGATCACAGTTTATAATCATTTTTTATATACTTGTATATTTGCTTTGCTAACATTTTCTTTAGGGTATTTGAAGGTCGCTTCATTTTATAAGTAGCACGGCCTTTACTGCTTTCCCTCAGGCGGGGTTGCTTTGGTTTCGGTGTCACGTTTACTGGACGTTTACCGTGAGCTAGGGAGCATTTCCCCGTTTCATTCTCTGGAGAGTACTTGTAACTCTGTCTGAATCATCAGGGCTTGGAGTTCTTTTTTGGTGGAAATACATCTAAATTCTGTTTCAGTTTCTTTATTAAGACTACTCAGGCCTTCTGTTTTTGTTTGTTTGTTTTTTAGCCAGTTTTATCAAATTATGTTTTTGTTAATAAAGTTTTTTGGTTTTTTTTAATCCTCAACTGAGGATTTTTTTTCAAATATCTTCAGATGGAGGGAGGAGAGAGAGAAACATCAAAGTGAGAGAGACACATTGACTGTCTGCCACCCACACGACCCCAACCAGGGAGGGGACACAACCGAGGTAATATCCTTAGCGGGAACCGAACCCAGGTCTCTCTGGTCCGCTGGCCAGTGCTATAACCACTGAACCAAACCGGCCAGGGCCCATTTTTATTTGTACTCCTTTGTGTGCCTTCTCATTTTTTATTTCTTAGTAATTCTCTCTAGAGGATTTTTGAGTCTTTTTAAAAAATAGTATTTAAATTTGTGCCAATCTTTTATCTTTTGCTGGTTGCTTTTAAGCTCTTCTTTTGTTCTTACCAATCTGTAGTTTCCCCACAACGTGATTGGGTCTGGATTCATCTATACATTTATACTGCTTAGAACTTAGAATTTTCCGTGCCCTTTCAGTGTCAGCATGGTGACTGTCTTTGGTTCTGGAAAACTGTCAGCTTCATCTCTGAGTAGACGGCCAACCCTTGGACAACATGGATTTGAACTGCATCGGTTCACTTAACACATGAATTCTTTTCATCTTGTAAACAGCTAATGTGAACTCATGGCATCGATAAATACAGTACAATGCTGTAAATGTTTTATCTTATGATTTTCTTAATAACATTTTTCTCTAGCTTACTATATCATGAGAATATAGTATATAGTACATATAACATACAAAATAAGTGTTAATCAATGTTTTATGTTATTAGAAAGGCTTTCAGTCAACAGTAGACTAGTAGTAGTAGTTAAGTTTGGGGAGTCAAAGGTTATATGCAGATTTCTATTCTGTAGGGGTGGGGGAGACTCCCGTATTGTTCAGGGGTCAGCTGTACCCTCTCTAAATCATTTAGTATTCCCTAAATCATCTCCTGGAGTTCCTTTAGACATATCTTAGAGTCCCTTGATTTGTTTTCCAGTCTTCCTAACCACTCTTTCATATTTTGTATTGCTTTATCTTTTTTATGTTCTTTTTGAATTTCTTTTTTTTTTTTATCCTCACCCGAGGACTTTTTTCCATTTTTTGTTCAGGTAGAGTGGGAGGGAGAGAGAGGAACAGAGAGAGAGAGAGAAACATCAATGTGAAAGGGACACATCGAGTGGCTGCCACCTGCACAACCGACCGGGGCCGGGGACAAACTGCAACCGAGGTACGCGCCCTTAGCGGGAACTGAACCCAGGTCTCTCTGGACTGCAGGCCGACGCTCTAACCGCTGAGCCAAACTGGCCAGGGCTGAATTTCTTATTAATAGCTTCAATAATGTTGTCTGTGTTCCATATAGAATGTGTTCTTTCTATTAATAGTTAAATTTTTATTTTCAAATAGCTCTTTTTTATGTTTATCTGATCTTGTTCTTTTTAAAAAAAGTTTCAAATTTCTTACTCTTCTTTATTTTTTTAAACCTCAGCTGAGGATATTTTTCCATTTGTCTTCAGATAGAGTGTGAGGGAGGGAGAGAGAAAGAGAGAAACATGGATGTGAGACAGACACATCGACTGGTTGCCTCCCACGTGACCCCGATCAGGGCTGGGGACCTAACGGCAAGCTAGGTACGTGCCCTTGACCAGAATCGACCCTCGACTCTTTGGTCCATGGGCAATATCTCACTGCTGAGCCAAACCAGCCAGGGCTCAAACTTCTTATTCTTATTAATGTTGATATAATTAATTATGATTAGAAATATTCTTAGTTTAAAGTCTTTTTTGGACGCTTTCCATTTTCATTTTATTTGGAAAGAATTTGTACACTGATGATCGGTGTTGTTGCCCTTGTTACTAAACTTCAGCGGGTGTTTTGGAGTTTAGATTGACGACTTTCCTTCATGTGGCCTCTTCCTTCTGCTCAGTGTCATAGTTGGGCAGTTGCCTCCACTATACACTTCAGGGCCCCTGCCCGGAGCCTGGCGTGGCAGTGAGGATGCCCCTCCTTGAGGGTCATCATGAGGCTGCGTGTATGCGCTCCTGACCGCCCAGGTGCACGCTCGGGGGGGGGGGGAGGGGGGCACGAGACCCTCCCCAGCCTCCTTTCCTGGGGGTGCAGCTTCCGCCCGGCTTTGTTTCTCAGTCAGGAAACTTGTCCCTGTTCTGTGTCACATAAGCACTGTCTGTTTAGACTATATATCACCTTAAGATCCCAGTTCCTGGCTACCTCTTTCTGTTTCTCCAGGTCCAGCAGAATTTTGGATTCATTCCTGCTCATCTTCTTGCATTTCTGTGCCTTTTAAGATCTTGAAATGATGAGATTTCCAGTTTATCTCTGAGCCAGAAGTGTCTTGGGTCTGACCTATAACCAGGGTCAGGCTGGCTTCCCCTTCACAGAGTGACATTTAGCTTGTGCGTCCTCTGTAAGCATGTGGTCTGTTCCTCAAAGACTCTGTTTTCAGGGATTTCCTTTCTCTTGACCTATGATTCACATGGGTAACACGAAAATGATACATGCGGTGGGCTAGCCGGGGCGTTACTCTTCAATCTAGCTCTGTTACTGACTGGGTTTGTAGCCTTGGGAAATATTTTGCTACTCTGAACCTTTATTTTTTTAGTCTGGAACTTTTTTGGACAGTTAGGAAAATTAAATAGCATGTTAGCCATGAAAGCACCATGAAAGTAGTCAAGTGCCACGGAACTATTTAGCCACATGTGTGTCTCATGTAGACAGAACACATTGGAAATAGATCCAATACAGAATATTTAATCTGTGGTAGTTGCATGCTGTTTCACAAAGCCATTCTTTTATATATTCATTCAACCAGTATTTAATGAGCTGAAGCAATGCCAGGCGTTGACCTCGGCACAGTGAGGGAACGTGGCCTAGTGTGGTTAAATCTCCCGTGTGCTTTCTTCCAATGGTGAGAGATTAAATTTGTCCAGATATACAGCTGTGATGTTAATAGCAGCCAGAACCACACTCGGAGGAAAATAGGGAAGCTTAGATATAGGTAAAAGCTATTAGTCACTTTGAGATAGCTGCTCTTTACACTGGTATTTTCTTGGTTTAAGTGACGACATACTTAGATGACTGGGCCAGATCAACAGATTAGATATTATAAAACCTTTATTTTTTTCAAAAATTAAGTATGTGGCAAGACTTGACTTTGTATTTCTGGAGAAGTGGTGCAGAAATACAACTTCCTCCTCCCTATGTATTTAGTTCTGACTGTCAGGGTAGCCTAATGGTCTCCTACTAGACTCCATTCAATTCCAGGAGATAAACCTCTTTAAGAAAGAAGAGAGGGGTTGGCATATAGGCCAGGTCTTATTAGTTCTATACTCCTCGGGTCCCGAACTCTGACCTCCACCTGACCGACCAAAGGTTTACACAGGTGACCTCCACCTGACCGACCAAAGGTTTACACAGCTGAGATTCAGGTAGTCCAGCAGTCTTATAGCCATACTACATTATAATACAGAAAGAATAAGAAATCAATGGAGCCAGGTATTTTATGGCTTGAATTTATTGCTTGCATATTATATTGGCAACCATAGGATTGCTGCTAAATGTTACTGTCATCAAGGATTGGAAAAGCCTGGCCAATAATTGTTTAGTCCCTAAATTGAGGAACCAGCCATTTTTCCCTCAAGCATGTAATGACATTCTTTTTTTTTTTTTTTCTTTATCCTCACCCGAGGACATTTTTCCATTCAGACAGAGCGGGAGGGAGAGAGAGGAAGAGAGAGAAACATCGATGTGAAAGGGACACATCGAGTGGCTGCCACCTGCAGAACCCAACTAGGGCTGGGGACAAACTGCAACCGAGGTACATGCCCTTAGCGGGAACTGAACCCTGGTCTCTCTGGACCGCAGGCTGACGCTCTAACCGCTGAGCCAAACTGGCCAGGGCGTAATGACATTCTTGTATTTTATTATTTTCTTTTCCTTAGACCTTTCCCTTCCAAATGTACTTCTTTCCCTCCTCCTTTTTAGACTTTATCTGCCCTTTTCAGATCGCATCATGCAAAGGACCCCTTTCCAACGAGGCTGCCATTCCTCTTGCATAGGTGCCCACAGGCAGAGCTGAGTCATGCCTGCCCACTGGGCTGGCTGTGGGGACTCGAAATGGCAGAGGGTGGAGTAGAGAGCAAAGACCAAGAGAGAGAATGAGCCCTTGACAATACCTCGCCAGATGCATTCTGCCCAGTTGGCTTTCAATTCCCATCACCTCAGTGCAGCCTGTGGGCTAGGCCAGGCCTCACCAGCCCCTCCATCATCACATCATCCACTTCATTCTCACCTGGACCACTGCTCCCTTGGGGCGGGGGGTGGGGGGTAGGGCGCCAGGAAGGGAGCAGTTCAGAAGTCCAGGTGCTTAGCAGTGTTTTAGTTTATCCTTCCAAGGAAGCCTCTCAGAACAGGTGGACTTCACTTTTTTGGTGTAGAAATAAAAAGATGTCCAGCAGAAAAGACCGTTAGAGTAGTCCAGGCTTGTAGAATAATGATGGTATTTAGTGAACAATTACTAAGATCTAGTCACTGTTCTAATCATTTTATATCTACTAACTCATTTATTCCTCATGACAAGCCCAGGATTTAGGTTCTATTACTGTCTTCATCCTGTCTATGGGGAAAGCCACGAGAATGTAAATTCTTGTCTAAACAGATAGTAAATGGACACAAACCCAAGCAACCTGGTTCTATAATACTTACTTATTTGTTTTTTTTTTATTATTATCTTTTTATATCCTCACCCAAGGATATGTTTTTCCATTTATCTTCAGATACAGTAGGAAGGAAGAAGAGAGAGAAACATCAGAGAAACATTGGTGTTTGAGAGACACATCAGTTGGCTGCCTCACGCACAACCCCAACCAGGAGTGGACCTAACCACAACCGAGGTATGTGCCCTTGACCGGAATCAAACCCTCGACTCTGGTCCGTGGGCCCACACCCCAACGCTGAGCCAAACTGGCCAGAGTGATATAATACTTACTTAAAATAAAAATATATAAATGATGCCCTGGACAGCTTGGCTCAATGGTTAGAGTGTCGGCCTGCAGACCAAAGAGTCACAGGTTTGATTCCAGTCAAGGGCATGTACCTCAGCCCTGGTCGGGGTAGTGCAGGAGGCAACCATTCGATGTGTCCCTTTCTTATGGATGTTTCTTCTCTCTCTCTCCCTCCTTCCCACTCTACCTGAAAATAAATGGAAAAATATCCTGGGGTGAGGATTAAAAAAATCTATCTATCTATCTATCTATCTATCTATCTATCCATCCATCCATCCATCTAACTATCTATGTAATTGTTTCTATTATCTATTGTTTTTATTGTTTCTATTGTTTTCATTGTTTCTATTGAAATGATGTCATGGTTTCAACTACTTGGTGCTACTAGATTATTTCTTGGAAAAGTAGCATGCTCAATATTCTCCTTTTATTCAGAAAAAACATGTTTCAAATGAATGGAAGGAGTTGTTAGTGTCAGAAAGAAAGGAAACACTTTTAATGACAGATCTCAACACCTAGAATATTGCTATTTTCACTGGGGTTTCCTAATATTAGCACTTTTTTCTTTTTTCTCAGCAAACCTTGAAGAAGAAATGGGTGGAGTTCAGAACTCTGCAGTTACAGGAACAGCGCCTGCTTCACGGTAAATGTGATTTCCTGTTCAGAAACCACACCAACATTTCACCCTCGCAGTGCTTCTGCCTCTAAGCCGCTTTAAGGTTATCACCATTATAAGAAGAAATTGCCTGTCATGGACAAAGAATACTAGCCTGTGTTTCTTGGGAGTGAGCTATGTATTTGAAGGAAGGATAAGTCAAGTCACATCCCCTCCTTCATACACATAACACATGCACGTGAAAACATGCATGTACGTGCCTGTGTGCACACGCTTGCAAGAGGCACCTGGGGATTTTAGAAGAGCAGTGAGAATGATCGCCTGACGTCAGCAGGTGAATGAAATTCCTGGGAACACTCATAGCTCAGGGGCTGTGTCGTTCTCAGAAACTACTGAGGCTGGAAGGGTCGTGTGCTTCTTGTACAGGCCTCGCATCATTTGTTCAAATTGTGCAGGTTAGATTAATGCAGATAAATTCTCCTCCACGGCCTCCAAACCCAAGACAGAAATGTAAATGATCACGATAATAGTAAATTCGTAGTTCTTGACATTGTGTGCATTCTAAAGGGAGGAAATAAGTTTAAAATGTGTTGATTTGCTATGTGACCAGTGTATGACCAGTATAACCTGAAGAATGAACTTATATGTATAAGTGATTCATTAAAACCACTATTTAAGTGGGTATGAAATACAGGTTATATCTTCTTCAAATAATACCAAGCCTAAAGTCTCTTTTTAAAAACCTAGATATCTGTCTAAAATGATAACCCCTTTACAGAAAAAAAATACATATAATTTTTAATTAGACACTAATTTGTGGCTTAGAAGTTGTGTTGAAAATTTTTAATGAAACATATGTATGAGTTACTTCTATTTTTATGTATTTACATTAATATTTTTAAAAAGTCATAATAGATTTTTTTTGGGGGGGGGTCCAAAGATTGCTATCAAGACACAGGTACAATGTTTAGCTACCTCTTGGATTTCTGTAGACTTGAAGGTTTGGGGAACCTTTGCCTCTACTGTTGGAGCATTCTGGAGCAGAGGTGAGCTGTGTTCGGGGATAGTATAGCAATGGCCTTGTAGAGACAGGTCTTTAGGTCAGAATCGAGGAGATTCAATCCTCATAAAGCCAATGTTGTGCACAACTGTTCAGATGTTGAAAGAGTTCTTCTTTAGTTTACTTTTTCTAGACCTAGAATAAATATCAGGGCATGACATTCTGTACAGCAATTGCTCTCTAATCAACTCGTTGCAAGATGAAGTAAAGTAGGTTGTATTAGCAAAAAAGAAGAGTTATGACTAATCACTGAGGGCTGGCCATACTCAACCTTGCAGATCAAAGGGAAAAATAAACAGTCGCCTTTTATATTGTCAACCAAGGACAAAGAAGAGCAGCGGTAGAGATGATCAACACAAAGTGAAACCATTTCTGGGTGTGCAATGTTCTATTACTTGTCTTGAAGCACTCACTGTCTAATTATAGTCATCCCTTGGCATCCATGGGGGATTGGTTCCAGGACCCACCCCTCTGGATACCAAAACCCAAGGCGTATTTACTTGAACTGCTCAAGTGCATTCTATAAAATGCCATATTATTTTCATACAACCTATATTTACGTGTAGGCTACCGAAGGGTATGCCTATATTTCACTTCATTCATATGGATTCAGTGTGGTGCCTGGTGCTATGGCAAATTCAAGTTTTTCTTTTTGAAACTTTCTGGAATTATGTCTTTTGCCTCAAATATTTTAGATCAGCGATCAGTTGATTCCAGAGGGCTGACTGTATGTCTTTCTCAGCTGGTATTAGATACTCTCCTTTCTTTTTGCCGTATACCAGCCAGTACAGGAGCAAGTGGGATAAGGGCACGATGTTGGTATGAGATTAACATGAGTTTGGAGAGCCCAGATGTAGGTTATAAAAGGTTATCCGCTAAGCAGATAAAATTCAATTTATTCAAATGAATTATTACTTATTTGAGGATGGCTGTTTTCTGGATAGTACCATTCCGGAGCATTTAAGTATTCCAGCATTCTAATAAGAAACTTGGAATATTGGGGCTGAACGATATCCTTTCTGTTTTAAATACCTTTGAATTCTCTATAATGAGCTACAGGTGCAGGTTTTATAATGCTGTTTCCCCTACACTTCAACTGGTGTTATTAGAATTTTATTATCGTTAAAAAGTGACAGTTGAGAAACATCAGAAGAACTAAACAAAGAAAATCTATAAAACAGCATTTCCCCAAGTATATTCTATAGAGCTCATTTCTGTAAGGTTTTATTTTTATTTTTTTGCATTTATCTTCAGATAGAACAGAAGGGAGAGAGAGGAGGAATAGAGAGAGAGAAACATCGATGTGAGAGAGACACATCGGGTAGTTGCCACCCACACAACCCCAGCTGGGGTCAAGGACAAACTGCAACCGAGGTACGTGCCCCTAGCGGGAACCGAACTGGGACTCGACTCTCTGGTCTGTGGGCTGACGCTCTAACTGCTGAGCCAAACTGGCCAGGGCTGTCAGAATTTTAATAAAAGGTTGCGGGGTCACTTCAGTTTAAGAAATGATCCTTTTAAAATTTCACAAGTCACACTGGCATGCTGTCAGATGACTTGAACTGTTCTCATGTGAAGAATCTGGTTTAAATTTATTTGATCTAGCATTACCATTTTTGTGTTCATGAACCTTTTCCATGGCAGGTAGGCCATGAACAATAGTTTGGGAAATCCTACTGTAAGTTTCATCAGATGATCTCATAACCAGTCACTTATTCATGCAAGGCAAGGCTCAGCGAGAAGTATCATTCACCCTTAACTCTTTCTTGTACCCTTTGAAGGGACATTTTGGCGTATTTACTTGTAGGGAGTGATGCTCAGATCCATTCCACAGTAGACTTTGTTTTCTGCATTCCAGGCGACACAGCTCACTGCCCAAGTCTGGAAAGCACGGACGTGGATGAATCAATTTTGTCTGGAACCCTGCCCGGGCCAGGCTCAGCCCTCGCGGACGGGAATCGATTATCCAGCGGGAGCAGCTGGCTGAGCTCCCTGACCGCGGACAGCGAGGACAGCTACCAGACGTGTATGTCTGAGGACTCGAGCAAGGGAGCCTTCAGCCGGCAGACCAGCACAGACGACGAGTGCTTTGTCCTCAGGGACGGCGACGATTTTCTGAAGAGGTCATCTTCGAGGAGGAACCGCAGCATCAGTACCACCAGCAGCGGGTCCATGTCTCCCGGGTGGGAAAGCAACTTCTCCAGCATGTTTGGGACCCTGCCCCGGAGAAGCAAAAGGGGAAGTGTCCGGAAACAACTCTTAAAATTCATCCCTGGCCTTCACCGCCCCGTGGAAGAGGAAGAGAGTCGCTTCTGATGGGCTGTGATGCCCTTTCCCCTGAGCTTATTTCGTAAATATTTCTGGACTTGTTTAGACCAACTCCACCCAGCTTGGTGGGAAAGTGCAAATGAATTGCAAAACTGACATCCCCTTTCATGCCAAGAGTGACCTTTATTTAAATGTTTTCTATCGTTATTTTTGCTGCTTATTATTATTATTTTTTAAACCAGAACAGCTCAAGTTCGAAGCAGACAGTAAGGAAATAAAGTTGTAAGTTAGATAATATGACAAATTAACATAAGTGCTTGCTCATTCTAATCTGCCTGTGAAGGCTGGAGTAATATTTATTTTTGTAGAATATCCATGTGAAAAATTGAGAACTTTGGAGTCAAGTGTAAATAAGAGAGTGACAATATAATTATTGACAATATAAATACCTTCTGTAGGTTAATAGGTAGGTATCAAAACTTTGTGTTAGTAACCTCTGGGGAGGCTTAAAAACAGGCAATTTTGAATGTTTCTGTTGAACTATATGAAGGGTATTATAAACAAAGATGATCATTAGCTATTTTACACATCTGCAATGGCAATAAGGCCAGAAATATAAGATTTAATATGAGGGTTTAGCATCATGAGATCCATGGGAAGGATATTGTCTAAGGTGGGTGCTGAGGAAGACTATAATAAATTTTGTAAAATTTTGTTGTTGTTTGTTTGTTTTTGTTTTTTAATAGGCAGCCTAAACAAAATGTGTGGGAATGTTATTCTTACCCAATTCATTTTTTATTCTGCCTAAATGTTGATGACAAGACGAGAACTTGCAAGATCCTACAGCTTTATAATTTAAAAAAAAATTAATTTATTTTTGTTACAGATGTTTCTCCTTTTTCCCCCACTGATACTCCCTCCCCCCTTTTTAAAGACACATCTAAAATTTGAAAAATTAGAGTCAGGAAAAAGATTTTTCTTCTATATATTTTTTTCATATTACTCCTCACTTTGTGTTATCTATGTTAAATAGGTATTTCCTCAGCCCTCTTTAGCCTGTTCGTTACATGACTATCACATTACTTCTAGCCGTTCAATCACATTTGTATTCAATTCCCATTAAAGTCCATAATCTTTCTGTTCTGGTGATGCAGCTGCTCATTACCTATATTCTAGAGTAGATAATCCAGACGATATAATAAATAGCCCTTACTGATTTTAAGTTTTTTTGTGCGTGTGTGCGTGTTTATGTGTTTGGGAGAAAGAGAAACATTGGATAGTTGACTTTGAGTGGAATTGGAATTGCTTCACTTAAATAAACTGAAGAATGAGTCATTTGAGAAAAAATAATGGAGAAAGGAAGCCTGTAGGGTAAGAAATAAATAATAAAAATTTTAAAAAGTAATTTCTAATGGAGACCTGCCCTCTGTTACTTCTTTGAACTCGGAAACACCCACCAAGCTCTGCTTGAGAATCATTCAGATGACAAGCAGTGTGCAGTGCGTGTCACAGAGACAATGGCCGTCCCGTCTACCGTTTACTGGGTGCCTAGTGGGTTAACAGTGGTTTCCGTGGGATCCTTGAAATAACCCTGTAGACAGGTGTTAGGCGTACAGTAAGGAAGCAGGAATCCAGAGATTCCCATGGCCAGTGGCAAGGCTGCAATTGGAAGTCTTCCTGGCTCCAGCCTATCATTATGGTCTCTCTAGACAGTGTTTACTCTTTTGCTGGTTCTGTGTAGATTTTATCACCACAGGCCATAGGACCCCCACTCCAAAAAATACATAACATATGCAGTTGTAGATACTTCATGGATAAGGATACTGTTTTTGGTAAATAGGAAAACAAATACACATTTAAGGTGACTCTCCTGGTCTCCATAAGCAAGTTTTCAGATGTAGGCACATTTATAACTGCGTGGTTAGCAATACATTTATTTTCAACAAGGGCTAGGAAATGGGTTGTGATCCAACAGATAGTTATCATGTTAAAGATCTGCTTCATGGTCCAGGCGGTGTGGCTCAGTGATTGAGTGTTGACCCAGGCACCAAGAGGTCACCGTTTCGATTCCCAGTCAGGGCACATGCCCAGGTTGTGAGCCTAATTCCTGGTGGGGTCATGCAGGAGGTGGCCAATCGATGTTCTCTCTCATCGATGTTTCTATCTCCTTCTCCCTCTCCCTTCCTTTCTCTCTAAAAATCAATGAAGAAAAGAAAAAACAAAAAACGATCTACTACATGAATAGAATGGGGCATTTTTTGTTAATCCTATTTCACCACGTTTATTGGAAAGATCGTATTTATTTGAGGAAAGATGGCTTTAAAGACTTCTACAATGTGAACAGTGTTTTGAGAACTACCACAGGTCATCTGGGAAAGCAGACCACAGGTCACTGTGGCTTTAAGCATTGAGTATAGGGCAATGCTTCTTTCTTGCAGTAAACTCAAACCCAAAAAGGCACAAGGAAGTGCTACTGAAGAATTAGAGTAAAAAGTTAGTGATGTCCTGGAAAAAAAGAAAAGCATTTTCTATTCTAACCAAAGTACAGGAAGGAAAGGTATGACATTTTTGTGTGTGCACAAGTTGTAAGAAAACTAGCTACTGTGTAGTGGAAATGTGGGTGAATTTCTCACAACATAATTTTTCACACTAAGTATGACCTCAGGAGGGCTTTAGATTTCGTTTCCCTGGTGTGATGCAAAATGACTCACTTAGATGCAATTTACTAAGAAAAGAATTGAAAAGTGAAGTGTTTTTTTAAACTCCAAACTTGTGAAATATGTAATATCGGTGAATTGCTTAATTGACAGTTTGTTATGAAAATGCATTTTTTAGTATGGCATTGATAAACTGAATTTAAATCAAGCATATTGGGAATTACATGTCATGTGATTAAAGGAGCATCACCATGTCAAACAGTTTGGGGTATATCTATGTCTATATCTATATCTAAATCTCTATCTGTATCTGTATCTGTATCTATAACTATAGAGACAGAGAGAGATGTTTTGTTGTTGTTAATCTTTACCCAAGGATATTTTTTCATTGATTTTTAGATAGAGTGGAGGAGGGAGGAAGGGAAAGAGAGAAACATTGTTGTGAGAAGGTCACATTGATTGGTTGCCTCCCACACAACTCCAGGGCTGGGATCAAACCAGCAACCCAGGTAGGTGCTCTTGACTGGAAATCGAACCCAGGACTATTTGGTCTGCAGGCCAATGCTCTAACTGCTGAGAAAAATCACCAGAACTGGAATTATGTTTTGTGAAATAAAATTGTATTCATCACTTTCTATTTGATAATACTTTTATATCTTAGTTGCATGATGCAAACAGTATTATAAATTCTAGTTTGTACTGAAGAAATCAAATATAGATACAGTTTATATATAATGATTATAAAATATAAGTATGGATGTATATAATCTAAGTACAGTAAATAATACATAACAACTATTGAATCCTTAAAATCACAAAATTCTTGGTACTTTATATCCATTTCCTATAAAACTATGGGCAATACAGTTTTTTTTTTATATATCTTTTTGAAAAAAGAACTTATTTTCTATCTCTATCTCTTTCCCTACCTACCTTAAGTGAAATGCTTGTTTTAAGTGCAAATTTTTAAAAATCTGGGGTGAACAGGACACCTCTTTGAACCTCTTTAAAGTTCTTAAAAGGCATTACCTACTAATTGAGGCTTTGCACTTATACCAGCTTTCTGTCCTTAGTTAACTACAAACTTAGAGGCTTAGAACATATTCTCTCAAAGTTTCTGTGGGTCAGGAATAGCAGCTTGCTTATCAAAAACCAACAATGGAAACAAAGACTGTGAGTAAGACATAGTCTTAAATAATGCAGTGTGGCCACAGGAGTGACATCACACCACGTTTGTCATGCAACAGAACAGAGCTTCAGAGGGACAACCTATCAACCACCATCTTCTCTTTGTTTGACACAAGTCACGGACTCACCCGTCCTCCAGAAGTAGGGACTGTGCAAAGGCATGAGCACCGGGAGGTGGGGATCAGGGCACTACCTTAGAGTATCCACAGCACCATTCGGGAGGTCACACACTTGATAAAATAAAGATAATGAGTTTCTCTGAACTTTTTTTGAGTAAAAATAAACGGTGAATTTAATTTTTTCTATAAGAAATGGTAAGATAAAAGATCTGTGAAACTAAATAATCTGGTCAAGAGTGTACAATTCAGCCAAAAAGCTGAGTAGAAATCTTAATCCAGATCTTTTACTAACCTCCCAACTTTGTCCTCCAGGTGCATAAAATGAGAGAAGATTTTAAAAGAATATTAAAGGGTGAACTTAAATGGTTACTTGCTTTCCCTTTCTGATGGGGAATCTGAATGTATTTCAGTGAAATCAGGGATTGGCGTGCTGGATTTTATCGTTCCTATGTGAGCAGAGGACAGGAATTCCACAGAAAAGCTAAAGGAAACTCAGAGTCAAAATTACAAAGCACAAAAGGAAAGGAACAATGATGAGTGAAGGTCAATAGATGTCACAAACAGCAGAATTGTTATAATTTGAGAAAATAAAGCAGTTTGAACAAGTATAAAACATGCTTCTCTTAGGAACAGAACAAATCCCTCAACCTAATAAAGAATATCTACAAAAAACCCATAGCTGCCCAGCTGGTGTGGCTCAGTGGTTCAGCATGGACCCCTGCACCAGGAGTTCACCGGTTTGATTACCAGTCAGGGCACATGCCCAAGTTGTGGCCAAATCCCCAGTGGGGGGCATGCAGGAGGCGGCCAATCAATGTTCTCTCTCATTGATGTTTCTCTCTCTCTCTCTCTCTCTCTCTCTCTCTCTCTCTCTCCCCGTCCTCTCTCTATGAAATCAATTAAGGAAAAAAAAAAAGCACACCCCATAGCTAATATCAGAATAGTAATAAACTGGATGCTTTCCCCCTAAAATCCGGTACAAAACAAGTTGTCCTCTCACTACTTCTATTTACCATTGTACTAATAGTCCTAAGTGGTACAGTAAGATAAGGAAAGGAAATAAAAGGTATACATATTGGGAAGGAAGAAATGAAACTGTCTTTGTTTGTAAATGACATGATTATCTATGTGGAAAATTCCAAAGAATCAAACAACAACAAAAATCCTGGAACTAATAACTGAGTATAGCAAAGTCACAGGATATAAATTACCATACAAAAGTCAATTGATTTCTTATATACTACAATGAAAACTAGGATTTGGAATTAAGTAAATGCCATTTACCCTGAAAACGAAGTAATAGATATAAACCTAACAAAATATATGCAGAATCTATATAGGGAAAAGTCTAAAACTCTGATGAAGAAAATAACTAAATGGAGAGATACTCTGTGTTCATGGATTGAAAGACTCAGTAGTGTTAAGATGTGAATTCTTCTCTATCTTAATCTATAGATTTAGTAAAATACCTATGAAAATTCCAGCAAACCATTTTGTCGACTTTGACAAACTACTTCTAAATTTTATATAAAAAGGCAAAAGACCTAGAATAGCTGATGCAAAACTGGAGAAGGGGGAGGTGCAGGAGAAGAAGAAAGGATATTGGAGAAATCACAATACCCAATTTCTAGACTTTCAAAAATCTACAGTAATTAAGACAGCATGGTATTGGCAAAATAATAGATATATAGATCAATGAAGCAGAACACAGTGCTCAGAAATAGACCCACATAAATATAGTCCACACCGATCTTTGACAAAGGAGCAAAGGCAGTTAAATAAAGAAAGGACAGTGTTTTCAACAAATGTTTCTGGGACAATTGGACATCCATATGCAAAACTTTACACGTTTTGCAAAATTAACTCAAAATTGCATCA